TTAGAGAGAAGCAGCTTGATGACGTTTAAAGGGAAGTTTTATTGTCGTCATAATTCGATGTGCGATATGAAGCTGGAAATGTTTGAAACGTGTCAGCTTGCCTGTTGGTTCCGTTGTTGTGTACCCTGTTTTCATTCGAGAACGTGACATTACTTGGATTGACCAAGATTCATACGACGTGTGCCGTATCAAGCAGAATACGCTAATATTTCCGGAACGCCTGGTCTTATTTTCCTTATACTTTTTCAGAGGTCACCGTGGAAATCTTTCTTTTGTTCATGTTTTTTCACTGTTTCATCAACTAATTTGTATTTGAAGTAAGATTGTCACTATTTCATGTAGGTATTTCTAATTTGATATGAAAGTCAGCAAACTTCAGTGTAATTATTTACAAGTAAATCCCTTCATTGATAATGTTTGTATTGTTATCGAAGAAAGCAGTTGTCCCGGTTTTCATGAAAACACATAAAAACTCAATAACTGAAATACGAAAATTAGTTGTTTATAGTCGTCATGAATAAATTAACTTAATTGTCAATTACTAGAATAGAGGATAATGCTTAACCGAAGTATAAACATGTATTCCCCCTAGCTGGAGTGAACAATGGTCGATAATCCCATTCATATGTCCCAATACCGCTATTTATCTTCAGCCATAACAATTGGTCTCAAAGGATACCCAATATGTGAACTCTGTGTATTACATATTCTCCTATTTATACTAATCAGACTAGTGACATATATCCTTGACCACGCCAAGCCACTGTTATTAAGACCGTTAAATACGATTATGACAGTATATCAACTGATAGTTCCTGTATCGGCGGAAATGGAATAAACGACATGCCTGTTGTTATTGGGTTTAGTATTCCTCTGGTGCATAAATAAGAAATATTTAACAGTACCCTGATACAAACTACAAACGTAGGAGCGTCAGCACGCAATGTAAAAGATTGGATCTCGAAGCTAATATGAGAACAAAACCTGTTAAAAAAAATTCCGGAAAATTCCAACATGTCAACATTAGAGTCCATATCGTACAAAGAAAAAGAATATTTCTCACCGAGGTCACCATCACGACAGTAAAACCATAATTTTCATCAACCTACATCATTTGAAAGCCTGTGTTCGAGTTCGTCCGTTAGTTGAAGACTTCTTGTATAATAAAACAACTCAGAATACATCATAATTTTACACTAACGTCTAAATAAGGACGACAATAACATTCCCGTACCGTCAAACATGTCCATAACTTTGATATAATGACAATAACATTCCCGTACCGTCAAACACGTCCATAACTTTGATATAATGACAGCAACATTCCCGTACCGTCAAACACGTCCATAACTTTGATATAATGACAGCAACATTCCCGTACCGTCAAACACGTCCATAACTTTGATATAATGACAATAACATTCCCGTACCGTCAAACACGTCCATAACTTTGATATAATGACAGCAACATTCCCGTACCGTCAAACACGTCCATAACTTTGATATAATGACAATAACATTCCCGTACCGTCAAACACGTCCATAACTTTGATATAATGACAGCAACATTCCCGTACCGTCAAACACGTCCATAACTTTGATATAATGACAGCAACATTCCCGTACCGTCAAACACGTCCATAACTTTGATATAATGACAATAACATTCCCGTACCGTCAAACACGTCCATAACTTTGATATAATGACAGCAACATTCCCGTACCGTCAAACACGTCCATAACTTTGATATAATGACAATAACATTCCCGTACCGTCAAACACGTCCATAACTTTGATATAATGACAGCAACATTCCCGTACCGTCAAACACGTCCATAACTTTGATATAATGACAACAACATTCCCGTACCGTCAAACACGTCCATAACTTTGATATAATGACAATAACATTCCCGTACCGTCAAACACGTCCATAACTTTGATATAATGACAGCAACATTCCCGTACCGTCAAACACGTCCATAACTTTGATATAATGACAGCAACATTCCCGTACCGTCAAACACGTCCATAACTTTGATATAATGACAATAACATTCCCGTACCGTCAAACACGTCCATAACTTTGATATAATGACAGCAACATTCCCGTACCGTCAAACACGTCCATAACTTTGATATAATGACAGCAACATTCCCGTACCGTCAAACACGTCCATAACTTTGATATAATGACAGCAACATTCCCGTACCGTCAAACACGTCCATAACTTTGATATAATGACAATAACATTCCCGTACCGTCAAACACGTCCATAACTTTGATATAATGACAGCAACATTCCCGTACCGTCAAACACGTCCATAACTTTGATATAATGACAATAACATTCCCGTACCGTCAAACACGTCCATAACTTTGATATAATGACAATAACATTCCCGTACCGTCAAACACGTCCATAACTTTGATATAATGACAGCAACATTCCCGTACCGTCAAACACGTCCATAACTTTGATTGTTATTCGTCGCAAGGATCGACTTGAACCTAACCTCTTCGTATTAAATGAATTGCTGAATGTCTATTTGGTGAAACATCAATTGTCAATTATTTCTTTTTGATATAGTAAGCGAGCAGTAGGATTCAATGCAACATATACACATATATCTGTGTTAAGATACATATTGACACTAACTATAAGTGCTAAGACAATGACTTATCATTTTTCTATTCTAACCTTAAACAATAAATAACTTTAGGCCCCTAATGTCAATGTGAAGTCATAGAAAAACGATACAGTTGTAGGATGCAGTTTAACGTTATTGGGACTTAACTCTAAATTTCTATTAAAAGGTCCTATTTACTTGTGTTTTTGTACAATCTACGAGATTGTATGTGGTAAACACTTAGCAGGTGGGAAACCCATGAAAGACATTTTAATCCATTTGTAAAGTCGCACAGTTCAGAAGGAATGATCAGATATATGGAAATTTCACTTTATTGACTTATCGTCCAAATCTAGATTTTGACATTTTCCCGATCAATTTGATTCTCCTCAGTCTCCTCGGTTTCGTATGTCCTTAACATTGTACATAGGACACACAAGTGATCAGCACCTTCTTACACAAATTTTAAGTAGCACCAAATAATGAATTAAACTGCATCATACAGCTGTTACGTCCTTCTAGGACTCGTCATTGGCACTGCATCATACGGCTGTTTCGTCCTTCGAGGACTCGTCAGTGATGCTACATCATACAGCTTTTACGTCCCTCGAGGACTCGTCAGTGATGCTACATCATACAGCTGTTTCGTCCCTCGAGGACTCGTCAGTGATGCTACATCATACAGCTGTTTCGTCCTTCTAGGACTCGTCAGTGATGCTACATCATACAGCTGTTTCGTCCTTCTAGGAATCGTCAGTGGTGCTATGGAGGCGACCAAGGATAATCCAAAGATTGTATGATGCAGTTTGTTTCATTACTTTGCCTTAATGTAGCCAATTCTATAATTGCAATGAAAGTCGATATTCATATATGTCTTTTGTATAACCTTGAAGACAGGAGGATCGTGTTTTAGTAAGAGATTGATAATCCATAACTATCTGTCATGAAACATGTCACAAATTATTGATTCCTTTGTTAGTGTGCTCACGGACATTGTGTGCATGTCATTCTTAAAATTCAAATATGTGCATCCATTTTGGTATTGTTATAACATGCATGTCTCCATAGATAGACTTGTGAAATGAATTCAAAATATTTCTTAAATCACTGTCCACTCACTTTGTAAGCTATGATGCTTGTAAAGAAGAACCCAACCCATTAACATAAACAGACTTTAAAATCAGTCTTGGAACCACGTGTTTTGGAAGCAAAGCAATATTAAGGAAACATCTAGTAAATAAAGAGGTGTCTTTTGCCGAATTCAAGAAATATCGGGGTGTCCATGAAAGCTGTGGATAGAGGACAGAGGAATATGGGATGCATTTCGAGACCTTTGAGAACGTTTTCTGGTCATCGTGGTTGTCAACCCTGAAAAATGTCCTATTTGTGTGAAGCTGAAGTATGAAAGAGCAGCAAAAAATATCAACATTTTAACAGAAGTTCAATTCAAACTAAAATTCAATGAACTTAGGGTACAAAGCAGATATAAAGCCAGGTGTTCCGGGAGAATTAGCGCCACTTGTTTCATCGATGACACCACCATGTAAATATTGGTCATCCAAGTAAGAAATGTCACGTTCCAAAATGGAAATAAGGTTAAAAGGAACAGGTGTTCCGGAAGAGAAAGCGCGTTCTTCTTGTGGATGACACCCGACGTATGCATGCCTTGTAGTATTGTCGATAACCTTTTTCGTATTTAAGAAAATGATGTTGCTTTCTTAGAATGTCCAAACGTTATATACCTATTGTTGTCAAAGAAGCAGACGATTCACTTTTCCAAAAGCACCCACTATTTTGTCTGTATTTTAATCCTGTATCACTTGGGTAGAAAATAGTGTGACAAGATGGAATTTAGAAGCAGAGCAATAACAGTAAACATGTACTAAGATTTAGCACAAAATTTTTTTTTTTTCGAATTTACAAAGGTCGGCAGCGAGCGACAAGAGGACCTCACTTTGATTTGATAGACATACCTAAATAGGAACTTTTAAACATTAAAACTACTTCCAAAGAGGCCGTCACTAAATACTGCAAATGTACATACACATTAATTCTCTGTTAGTGATAATTTTATTTTAGGGGTGTTACCGTTGAAAATATTGTGCTTTGATATGATCAGGCTAATTGCACTTATATGCAAATCATCTTTATGCTAATTCAATAAAAAGTGAAAACCTGCTAAAATCTGATTGTATTTAACCACCTACTTTATAATAACTAGATCTTCACTGATATATAAATGCTATCAGCTGGATTTGAATGTAATACATGTCAAGCTGTTCTGTTGTGCCAGATCAGCGGCTTCTATTCTGTTGTTTTGAGGAATGTTGAAGGAAAGAATACAAACGCAAATTATTTCACTGTTGATATATTTATTATACATAAAAAAATGCATAAAATTGATATAAGGGATGTTTCGATGAATGACCGTCACATGTCCTCTTATTGATGACTGTGAAGTATGGCAGTACTATTGTCCTAGAAAGGACATGATTAGGATAAAGTTATTCCTGAATACGTCTTCGCAATCACAAAAAGTTACATCACATGATCAAATGTAAAATGTAAATTACATATGTAACTACATTATCTACAACAACAGGACATTATCTTTATTTATACTAGAGTTACAATTCTGAGTTTAGATTTCAAATGATAGCATACCTCAAATGCGAGTATCAAATTAGTATATTTCCAATTGTTGAATGATGGCTCATTATGTGAGAGACCTTACACGTATGATTGTAAGTTATCACAAAAAGAGAATTACGTCACATCTACATAATTCTGCACAGTTCTTTGTGATGGAATAAATATTTCTTGGGTCGTCTACTTAGAGCTTTATATCTTTGTCTGCTCTCTGCAAGAAAAAGTTTATTATTGTTATCTTTAGACGACTTGGAGACAAGTTTGTCCATATGATTGGGTCTGTGAAATCAAAAATAAATGAATGTGAGTTAAATGTTTCTCTTTTGATTCTAAGTTAAAGTCAGCCATTTCATCATATCCTGTATCTATTTCTTAACATAGAACATTCCTTAACTGATATCTGTCCATAAGACATATTTATTGGAGTTGAATCTTTCCGTTGAGAACAGCTTTTGTTATATATAATGATTCTTGTCGTTATTTTTAATAGATCCTTTGAAGCTGAAGCCAATAGCTTTACAAACTACTGCAAATATAGATACTTCTTACTGCCAGCGGTGAACAGTCATCTGTTAATTTCAAATGACTCTTACCCTGTCTCCTTGGGTTCGTTCATGTGTTTGTACAGCTCTGTGATGCCGTCACTACTTTCCTGTCGACCAGCGAACTCCTCATGCCTTCGAGAGTGTACAGACTTGATTCGATTGGTCCACAAAGAGAGGAGGTTTTGTGGACCAGCTACAGTAAGAAAAGATTTAAACAATTTTATTCATGTTCGCTACAGTTTAAAGAAGTCATCTTGTTTGTTGAAAATTTACTTGGACAACACCACACCAGTTTATAACTCTGCAGTGGTTAGATGTGAAGTCCTACTGTACAGTGCATCAAACTTAAAATTTGTAATAAAAGGTACTATTCACTTATGTGTCTATTGTACAATCTTCGAGACTGCAGGCGTTAGACACTACTACTGGACGTTTAACCTCTGAGGTTTGCAGTAAAATGCATCTCATGGTTTATTTCATTCAAAGAGTGGCTTGGTTCAGAATATACACATGTATTTGAGGTTCTTTTGAACTGATCAGATATATAAACCTCCTAGGTTTCAAAATCTAGGCCCTTAGCATCACAGAGGGAGGAAGTCACTGTATGAAGTTCAAAGTTCAAATTTTCTTAATTTTCATTAAAATGGTCGATTCACTTCGTGTCTTTTGTACCACAATCATATACGATCCTTATTTCAAATTCTATAGTATGCTTATATTGACAGGCAGGACTAGAATCTGTGGTGTTTCTTTTAAAAAGAATAATTTCTATGATATGCCAATATCTATGTGCGTATATATGTATGGTATTGTGGAAAGTTATTCTGAACTGAGGACGGCATACCTAGTATGCCGAAACATATCAACTATTAAACAGTCTTAATTCTTCCTACAGCTGTTCTCTGGTCCTCTATATTTGCTGTGTACACATCTTTCAACAGGACTAGGAATCCATCCTAGAAAGACTGCTGATATTACTAAATCTACCAGACCGGACTTTGGATCTCGTTGTCTTTGTATTGTGCTTGTGAGTTCATATGCACCACTTCACATAAAGTGTGCATTTGTAAGCATTAGTCAAAACAACGACAGGAAGATTCTGCATCATTAATTACCTCCAGATGGTGTAAAGGGGCCCTCTATCCCAGTTCTTTGTCGTTTTGGTTGAGGTGCAGAGTCTGCTTTGTTAGCGTCCTGTTTCTCACGTTCAGTCATCTTCTGGTATCTACATATACAATAGAAATTTTTGTACTTAGAAAACATAATGAAAAGGTCAGTGTTGTCACACTTTTAAGCAGAAGTCAGCGTCTCATTTCAAAACAAGATTTAACTAAGGAGCCTGGATGTTGGCCACTTTTCATACCCACTGAAATTTAGATGTCTTGTATATCCTATCAAACTAACATTACTATGTCCAACTGTTGTAAACATTTATTACAAAATGTTCTGGGACCACGTGGACATCCATGACATCAAGAGAAGTGAAGATGATACGAAAGGAACCCCCACCTTATTGCACTAGACTGCCTCAAACTATTACTAAGAGGATGTACAGGTTGTTCTTGCACTCTGTACCATCTGGTTAAGTCTCTGTCAGACTGGCTTCATAAAAGTCAACAATACATTTGCTACTTGTAAGTTCTTCCATGGAGTTGTGAGGAAATGACTAGTATTTCATAATAAGGAGACGGATCCTACAAGGACCTTAGTGGCCATTGTTAAGTGGTCTTGAATTGGTCGTACATAAATGTGCTGTCCTACACCTGTATTATCTATGTTAAAAGTTGTATTTACCATTCAAAATTGCAAGTCACAAAAACTGCATGCAAACCATTCTTTTTCTCTTTAGTTTTTTTTGGGTTTTTTGCAATTAACCTCAAAATAAACCTACCCATAAGAAGGAAAAGACCTCATTATGACATTGCACATAGGTATGCCTACAGTTGAATTCTTTCTTGAAGAAACTTGTCAAATGTCTAAATCCATGACAACCATCTTAAATCTGTGATCAAGCTAATAACAAGGCCACACATCTTGACTCTTTATGAAGTGATCACATACCTTTCTGGATGTCCTTTATTTGTTGCCAAGAAATTGCAGCAAAAATATCAAATATTTCATGTTGAAAAACTAAACGACTGCAGGTAATCAAATCACACATCATTTTGTTTTTAAATTATGGCATGCAAATCTAAGGTTTATATCAAATTTATCTCTAAAAAGGCTCTAAAAGAGATCATTTCAGTATGTTTCACAGAAAACCTAATGTTATAATCCAAAATGGCCATCAGCAGTCATCTCGAATATTGAATCAAACTCGGACCCAGACTGATTGTTTCAATAGAGTTTCGAGGAGACAGTGATCACAAACAAATTTCAAACCCCATGATGACCATAATAAAATAAAATGAACGCAATTATAATCTTTATTGACTTTGTCCCTCAATTTACAACACTATGGATGCAAAATGATTTGAAAATACACCACCTAATGATAAAAAATTAGGATTTTCTACATTACTTTTCCAGTTCTTTCCAGGATTGTTCGGCCTGACTCTCTATGTCCATTTTCTCCTCTTTAATGGTTTTGTCTCCTTTCCTTGGCGATGGTTTGGAGTCATCGGGTTTCTTGCAGTCCAAGATACAGTCAAGAATGCGTTGATGCATAGCCGATGTCGAGGCATGAGCACTCACCAGGGATTCAAGCTCTGACCACATTTGTCGGTACTGTTCATCCCTGTCCAATCAAAATGGTTGTAACAAAGATGTTTAAAAGATGTGCCCTGATTGGTCAAAGATGATATAAGTGTAGTAATTAATCCACAATTGAAGTATGAATTTCATTACTGTGAAGCTGATGAGGCATTGGTAGTTGGTATTGGTTCCATCGTTGTATACCCTGTTCTCATTTTGAGAACCTGACATTACTTTTTTGGATTGCCAATGGTTTACATGGAGGGCCTTGTTGATGAAGCAAAAGATGCTTACTTTTCAGGAACACCTGGTCTTATTTTTCTTCAACTTTTTCAAGAGTCTCTGTAAATCTTTCTTTTGCTCATACTTGGCCTAGTTTTATTGAATTTGAGTTTTGATTATGATTATATTGACATGTTGGTATTTTCTTGGTGTTTTTTATTTACCTTTTTGGGCCTTTAGCACGGGAACCACTAGATGTTATTGGTAGAGCCTCATTTCTACTCTCCATACCGACGACATGGTAGATGGCTTTACGACATTCAATGACATCATCTTCATCCAACGTTTCCTTTACAATCAGAGTGGGCAATGGGTCTATGTGCTAAAAATAGACGTTTAATGTTAACAAAAACTGGATTTAAAAAGGTAGAAATCTGACTTCAGCTATACCAATTAACTAGTACCTTTAATGCTGAATAGATTTTTTCTGATCTGACCAACTCATGAAATAAAAGCCCTTGTGATTACCATGAACTTTGGGAGTCCCAATTCCTCCAAAGCCTCTAGTGGCCCCCATCTTACCCAACAAGTCTCAGAGAAAATTTAACCACAACTTAAAAAACAAGAGAATCAGTAGAATTGATTGATGCTCCCCAAACCCTCGTATGAAAAATAACAAAGGGCAATAACTCCTAAATTATGCAAAAGAGAGTTATGGTTCTCATACACTGCACTTCAGCATGTTGAGATCTATCTACCTATGAAGTTTCATGTTGATTCCTCTCGTAGTTTTTTGCGATATGCTCCAGACAAATTATGCTGGATGGACTGATGGACAAAGCAGAGACTATTTGCTCTCCCTTCAGGGAGCATAAAACTAAAATCACCAACAACTTAATCATTCATTTTAAGACATAAACCTTAGGAATAACACTTTATCATTGTGGTAACTATAAGAGCTCCATCCAATCAAGACTAAACCCTGGTAGCTGCACTTGCCAATACTATCTAGTATTTTGGATGGGTCAAGCAGAATCAAGGTCATATGAAGCCACACTTACCGATGCCATGTTAAAGATGATTGTCTCCCCTATTACAGTTGGCCAGTATCGACTCATCCTCTCCAGGTGGCTCTGAGCTGTAATGGTTAAATGTAAAGGTCAAGGTATGATATGTTAAATGTAAAGGTCAAGGTATGATATGTTAAATGTAAAGGTCAAGGTTGAAGGTCATGGCAATCCATTGAGGTTACAGATATCATGGACATTATCAAGTTTTATGTATGGCAAAGTAAGAGGTTAACTTCTGACATCACAGCTAAATTTCCAAGATTTATATTAGGTAAGTGCAAAATTTTTGAATTGATTTCTTACAGTGTCATTATCACCATTTATATATATAAACGACAAAATGATCTGTGAAATGATTTCACATCAATAGGCTCCAATGTACTGATAAGCATTCTAGTGATAAAAACAATTATTGGTCTCATCACTGAGTAATGAGATTAAAGATATTATATATTCACTGGTGATGATATAACTTTATTTAGTGATGACCTATGTTTTTACAGTTTTTACCAACCAAAGCGGTACTCTCTACAGTCACTACATTGGAATTTGCCTAAAATTCCAGTTCGCACATAAATGAAACAAAGGTTGAATAAGTTGGTTTTCATCAAATAAATCCTGCATACATTTCTTGTTTTTTCTTATATGGTATAGAAAAAAGTTCTGCAAATGATTCTTATTATAAAATGATATTAAAAATATGTAACTGAAAAAAACACCATTAAGCAGCCTTGTTAAGCTCAACACTAACCTAACGTCCAAGAATTTGCTAATACTTCCCAAAAGTTTTCAACACCCCTGTACTTATGCTAGGATAACTGCGGGCGGGGGTTATTTGTTTTTCATTTCAAATGTAATAAAAAGAAAATTTTTCCTATTTTCTGTTCTTTTCAAAAATTTGATTTTTTATCAGTGGAATATAAAATGGTAATTTTATATACATCATTATACATGTATGCAATATAATAGACAAATATTACATATTGTATCATACAAAACTGAAATTCACAGAATGTACAGACAACCAGGGGTTGGGAAATACTATACACTCAAAGTGTTTAGGGTGTTCATTCTGCATTATAATATATAAAATTCCAATATGTTCTTTATCATATTTCTAAACAATTGTTTATTAGCTTGGTTCGTAGGGTGAACATTAATGAAGATACTTATCAAATCTTTCTTGTAAAACATAGATCAAATTCGTACTGACAAGAAAAATGACATGCGTCAGAGCATGAACATTGCTTCTGAGTTTCATTATCGTACTTTTTTTTTGCTGAATTTGCGTTTTTTCCACCATTATTTAATGCTTGTCCACTACATGTATAACAGAATCAAGTCATCCTTCATTACACACAAAGACACACTTAAAACAAGTCTGGCCATCAGGTATGTTAGAAGAGTTGAAAGTTTTTTATTAAAATTCTGTTTACACATATTTGTACAACATACCCAGGCTATTCTGTTGATAACCTGCGTTTATCTCCTGCTTGGATTCAATTTAATGGTTTTCAGTTAAATACAATATATATTTCACAGGTAAAACAGAATATATCTGTATTTTTCCCTCATGCTTCACACTCATGAAAAATATAGAGATTCTGTCAAACTTTTGAAATATATATGAAATTAAGCAGAAAAAATATTCAATACTGCCTTTATGTTCCAGGTCTACACTGGACGTGGCAATGATATGACCATTTTATGTATCATAGATACAGAGATTCTGTTGTTACAGATTGAATTTCTACGGGAAACTGGCATCCAGGGATCAACAATCCTTCTTTTGGCCTGAGATTTCTTTCTTCAATGTAACTTTCCATTATCTAACAAAAAACTATCGTTTCTGTGGAGCTGTGTGCTATGTAAATTGTACAGGAAACTGCAGTGTCGGTTATCCCAGAGAAAACAAAATCAGTCATCGATTTCGAAAAAGGTTGAGGATTTATTAGACAACAGGGTAATATTTTTGTTTATCAGTAAAACAGGTGTGATTGCATCAACAAACAACTGGTAGTCTTTCCTACAAGAAAACAAGATTTGTTCCAAGGTTTGTCACTGTTAGGATTGTGAACAGAAAAACTGTGTTAACATCAACAGTTTAGGGTCCAACAAATTCAGACTAGGCAATAATAATACCTTAGTAATTTTAAGAGATATAATATAAATTTGGGGAATAGGTATACTAACATAAATAAATGCTACTAAGTTGAAGAATATGACAACAAAGAATCTAAGTAATTATGTTTATTGACACACTCAACAAAACATATAAAGTGAGATTAACATTACAATCCAACAAATAAACTGCCTAGCTGTTATGTTTCTGACATGTACACTATAGCTGTGAACTCTCTTCCCTGATATATACACCACAGCTGTGAACTCTCTCCCCTGGTATATATACACCACAGCTGTGAACTCTCTCCCCTGGTATATAAACCACAGCTGTGAACTCTCTCCCCTGGTATATAAACCACAGCTGTGAACTCTCTCCCCTGGTATATAAACCACAGCTGTGAACTCTCTTCCCTGATATATACACCACAGCTGTGAACTCTCTTCCCTGATATATACACCACAGCTGTGAACTCTCTTCCCTTATATATACACCACAGCTGTGAACTCTCTTCCCTGATATATACACCACAGCTGTGAACTCTCTTCCCTGATATATACACCACAGCTGTGAACTCTCTTCCCTGATATATACACCACAGCTGTGAACTCTCTTCCCTGATATATACACCACAGCTGTGAACTCTCTTCCCTGATATATACACCACAGCTGTGAACTTTCTTCCCTTATATATATACACCACAGCTGTGAACTCTCTCCCCTGATATATACACCACAGCTGTGAACTTTCTTATATACCCTGATATATATAACCACAGCTGTGAACTCTCTTCCCCCACAGCTGTGTATATATATACCACAGCTGTGAACTCTCTTCCCTGATATATAAACCACAGCTGTGAACTCTCTCCCCTGATATATACACCACAGCTGTGAACTCTCTTCCCTGATATATACACCACAGCTGTGAACTCTCTCCCCTGATATATAAACCACAGCTGTGAACTCTCTTCCCTGATATATACACCACAGCTGTGAACTCTCTTCCCTGATATATACACCATAGCTGTGAACTCTCTTCCCTGATATATACACCACAGCTGTGAACTCTCTTCCCTGATATATAAACCACAGCTGTGAACTCTCTTCCCTGATATATACACCACAGCTGTGAACTCTCTTCCCTGATATATAAACCACAGCTGTGAACTCTCTTCCCTGATACATACACCACAGCTGTGAACTCTCTTCCCTTATACATACACCACAGCTGTGAACTCTCTTCCCTGATATATAAACCACAGTTGTGAACTCTCTTCCCTGATATATAAACCACAGCTGTGAACTCTCTCCCCTGGTATATAAACCATAGCTGTGAACTCTCTTCCCTGATATATAAACCACAGCTGTGAACTCTCTTCCCTGATATATACACCACAGCTGTGAACTCTCTTCCCTGATATATAAACCACAGCTGTGAACTCTCTCCCCTGGTATATAAACCACAGCTGTGAACTCTCTCCCCTGGTATATAAACCACAGCTGTGAACTCTCTTCCCTGATATATACACCACAGCTGTGAACTCTCTCCCCTGGTATATAAACCACAGCTGTGAACTCTCTCCCCTGGTATATAAACCACAGCTGTGAACTCTCTTCATGATATATAAACCACAGCTGTGAACTCTCTCCCCTGGTATATAAACCACAGCTGTGAACTCTTTAAACCACAGCTGTGAACTCTCTCCCCTGGTATATAAACCACAGCTGTGAACTCTTTCCCCTGATATATAAACCACAGCTGTGAACTCTCTCCCCTGGTATATAAACCACAGCTGTGAACTCTCTTCCCTGATATATAAACCACAGCTGTGAACTCTCTCCCCTGGTATATAAACCACAGCTGTGAACTCTCTCCCCTGGTATATAAACCACAGCTATGAACTCTCTTCATGATATAAAAACCACAGCTGTGAATTATCTCCCCTGATACATACACCACAGCTGTGAATTATCTCCCATAATATATACACCACAGCTGTGAAAGTCTTCCCTTACTTGTTAAACATTGCTGTGTTGAAAAATGTAAAGTACACACATTCTATTTTATTTCTTAAAAAATCTCTCTGATGTTGCAGACATGTAAATGAATTGATTAAGGTATTTAAAAACGTTTGACTAATATGTTAAGTCTGATTGATAAGTATAATGTTGTTGTTTTTTTTGTGACTGATTCAAATTTTCGTAGTTGTACAATAAGCTCGATGATGCAGAAAGGATGTACTTTTCATGGAAGCCATGTAAAGGTTGAGTAAAAAATCAACCTTTACGAAACATTTTATTTTTCAATAGGACAAGAGCCTCATAAACAATACAATATCTGTTTGATATGCTTACGTAACGTTTAGAGATCTACACAGCTATCATCTAAGACCAAGCTTGTGTGCATGACTCGGCCCTTGTCTATAGAACCAGGGGAAATCCCTAGGTTACCCTTAGTTCTGGAAATGATATTTCTGAGATGTAGGAGTGCAGTTAGCCTATAAAAAACACTGGAAATTCCATGAAATAATGGCTTAAGTAATGGCTTAAGGCGATCTGCCGTATATTTCTATCAAGTAATGGTTTAAGTGGTAAAAACGAAACAAAAACTGAATCTGATATAACACTGGTCAAAGGAAAAACACAAAACAAAGAGAAGTAAGCAGATAGGTCAGAATAGTGGTGGTTAATGATCTCAATAGAAAAGTCCATTGTCAAAGTGTGATCAATAGCAAAGTAACAATAGTTCTGAAAAAAAGTCACTTGGAAATCAAAATTTCATTTCATCAAAAAGACAGCTACAAAATTTTAATGAAACCAATTGAAAAAATAAAAAACAAAAGGAAAACACAAATTGCTTTAATTCTTCTAAAAATTGTAAAATCAAAATTCTATTTGCATAAACACAAAATGTCATAGCAAGAATACTGCCAAGTTGGTCAAAACATAAGATCTCTAGACAGGATAGGAACAAAGGATAAAAAGTTGTCTGGAGGTTGTTTGACCATAAAGTCCCATTCAGGAAAACAAAAGCAGTAATTCTTTACAGTGTAACAAAGAGTTTAAGATTCTATTCCTCATAATGACTCACCCCTGTCCAACGGTGGGTCATCTGATTCTTCTAACGCACTGGGCAAAACTGGTGCTAGTCGGTTTTCTTTCATGAATTCACCAAAGTCCTGGAAATGAAATAAATGTTACGATTAAAATTGCTCACGTGTAATATGTTATTTTTTCTCACAGAATCACAAATCTTAAAATTGTGCTGAATTCAAAAACACTATTCTGACTTAGTTCAATTTTTGTAAATTGATTGTGTAGTATATGTAACCCAACACCTATGAGGATGGCAAGGCTTCATGACTAAAATCTCTTCTTTCTTTCTTGTTGAAATCTATGACATCAATTTAAGGGTAAAGACTTTCTACATACCTAGATACCATGCTTTCATCTGAAGTCAATTGTTATGTTTTATTGTTGTGGTTTCTCCATAGCTAATGTGAAAGTTTCCACACAACAGATGTATACTTCATGTCATACTGTATTTTTATATGTAAACATGAAAATGTTCCTAACATATTAATGTACATGCTCATATTTTTGTTTCAAATTTTAACAAGTTTCTGTAAATTTTAATAGTGACCTTGACCTTGACTTGTAAAGACTTAAACAGTATAACACATGTGAGGTATTGTTATAGTTTACTTTAGCATTAAGTTTAATGAAAATTTCTAAAGAAATGACATTTATAGTGTGATGACTTGGACACCGGATGGGGCGGGACAGGACATGATGTGACAGAAATAGAATGGATGGGACAGGACATGATGTGACAGAAATAGAATGGATGGGACAGGAAATGATGTGACAGAAATAGAATGGATGGGACAGGACAGGAAATGATGTGACAGAAATAGAATGGATGGGACAAGAAATGATGTGACAGAAATAGAATGGATGGGACAGGAAATGATGTGACAGAAATAGAATGGATGGGACAGGACAGGAAATGATGTGACAGAAATAGAATGGATGGGACAGGAAATGATGTGACAGAAATAGAATGGATGGGACAGGAAATGACGTGACAGAAATAGAATGGATGGGACAGGACAGGACATGATGTGACAACAGAATGGATGGGACAGGACAGGAAATGATGTGACAACAGAATGGATGGGACAGAACAGGACATGATGTGACAGAAATAGAATGGATGGGACAGGACAGGACATGATGTGACAACAGAATGAATGGGACAGGACAGGAAATGATGTGACAACAGAATGGACGGGACAGAACAGGACATGATGTGACAACAGAATGGATGGGACAGAACAGGACATGATGTGACACAAATAGAATGGATGGGATAGAACAGGACATGATGTGACACAAATAGAATGGATTGGACAGGATGGGACATGATGTGACAGAAATAGAATGGATGGGACAGAACAGGACATGATGTGACAATGGCAGGGACGAGACAGGATGGGAGTAAACTGACTGGATGGGACAGATATGAGTGACACTAAAAATCCACCTATCCCCGGAGACAGCAGACATATTCACTGAATGATATGGCGATCCTGAGTTAAAATCACTTACATTGATCCTGTAATCAGTTACGCGACCCCCACATCCTTCACTGATAGAGGGAGGATCTTCTAGCAAGGAGCGCCCTGTATGTATTGCATGGATAAAGATCTCCCCACCATGGCTGGCGAGCATGTGAGATATGACCTTGATACCAGTCTTTTTTGGTTGTTCAAGCATGACAGCACGACCTGTAAATTACGAGCCAAATGTCTGAATACAATTTTCAAATTTATATGCTCAAAACAAAATGGCCACTTAATATCGACGAACTGAATGTATCTAGATATAGTGGACTCTTAGCCAATGAAAACAGAGGAAAATGCAGACCTATCTGACATATCCATTACAAAAAGCTGAAATTTACAGTCTGTAAGAGTGGAAATACATCTGTCTCAGCATGCATAAAGATTGAAGGTGTATTCCATGATGAGCAAAAGTTTGATAAAAGCAGACCAAGTGCACGTTTTATAAAAGTAGTGTCTTGTCTTTATCATTGATCCATTCCTTACCAAACAATTTTGTAAAGAAAATAGAACAAAACCTACCACTGAGCAGGAAATTGGTAAGACAGGAGGATGGACGACTGTTTACATCTACTGGTGTCACTCTGTGTACATCCGTACAATAGTGCATTTCTGGAATACAGATAACACATTTTTACACAAAATTTTTAAACAAAATGAAATACTGGTTTCTAAGAAATGAAAACAACTAGGCATGTAGGCTGTCGGTTTACTCTTGTGACTACCATCAACATGTTTTCACATTAAGGTTTATCTAGGGACATCCTACAAAGGGCCAAATAATGAAACAAACAAGAGGACCACGGGGCCTGTATTGCTCACTTAGCTTTGCTTGGCTGAAATTGCTTCATCCAAACTGAAGGAAAAGAAATTCTAAATATCCAAAAACACAACACAATCCTTATTCTCCCATAAGGTCCCAATCCTCAGTCCCTTGGTGATCAGACAATACATTCATGCTTCAGACCAAATTGAGACAGAATACTACCATTCCTAAAGAAGAACTTTTTTCAAGATTTTGTTCTATTTCATTTATAGAGTCCCATACCTTCTGCCTCCAGCCTCCGAGAGTTAAGACCAACTGTTCATACCAAACAGATCCCCTTTCCATCCAATCATGCTTCAGAAAGTATTTGGGCAAAATCTACTCACCTACAACGTTAGATTTCGGGGTACACCACTTCAGCGTTATGGTTTCTGTAGGCAGACCTTCTTTCGATGGTATCACTAATCCATCCCCGTGAGCTTTAAAAACAAAAGATAAAATATTTTTAATGGGAAATTAAAGTCAAAAGATATTCAACCAGATCTTAGAACAGTACATATTTACTGTAAAACACTTAGATTTCAAGAAAACAACAAGTTGTGTCTAATGAATTGCTGATCTTAGAACAGTACATATTTACTGTAAAACACTTAGATTGTGTGTCTAATGAATTGCTGATCTTAGAACAGTACATATTTACTGTAAAACACTTAGATTTCAAGAAAACAACCAGTTGTGTCTAATGAATTGCTGATCTTAGAACAGTACATATTTACTGTAAAACACTTAGATTTCAAGAAAACAACCAGATGTGTCTAATGAATTGCTGATCTTAGAACAGTACATATTTACTGTAAAACACTTAGATTTCAAGAAAACAACCAGTTGTGTCTAATGAATTGCTGATCTTAGAACAGTACATATTTACTGTAAAACACTTAGATTTCAAGAAAACAACCAGATGTGTCTAATGAATTGCTGATCTTAGAACAGTACATATTTACTGTAAAACACTTAGATTTCAAGAAAACAACAAGTTGTGTCTAATGAATTGCTGATCTTAGAACAGTACATATTTACTGTAAAACACTTAGATTTCAAGAAAACAACCAGTTGTGTCTAATGAATTGCTGATCTTAGAACAGTACATATTTACTGTAAAACACTTAGATTTCAAGAACACTTTATTTCATGAACTTACCTCCACAGAGATATTCGCAAAACATGATTTTGTTAGAGATATGGACTCTGGAAAAGTCTGATATCTGCTACCAATAGTTTCATATTGGCAGCCATTTTGCTTCTGAGAGTCAAAATATATTAACACAAAGAAAAGTGCTTTAGTCATGTGATACATGTTGTGTTCATACAAGAAACAAACGTGATCATGCCACATGTTCTTATATTTGAGGACTGAAGTGAGTTATTTCCATGCTAAGATGACAGCGCTTCTATAAGCCAGACATATTGTGCGATGTTTAACATTAAAATTTGCAAAGTATTTATACCACTTAAACAGTATTTGTCCAAGCGGAAATTTTCTTTGATGATTTTCTTACTTTTTATTTTGTAATCTAATAAGATAAATATCTTGCAAGTTATTGTAAATATTTTAGCACAACACAAATTATCATTTGGGATTTATAGTTATATATATCATGGTACACAGTCTCGACCTCCGACCTCTGACCTATAGCTGTAATTTGAATGATGCCATTTTGTGAAGCTTTACAGTCAGCAATATGGGGATGTGGTTTAAAAATACAGATTCTAAAGATATTTGAATTTGTTTGTTATATATATCTAACAAATTTCTTTGTGACAACATAATAAGCTTGTATAGATTCAACGAACTGAACAACAGTAAAATAAGTCAATAAAGGAATAACAGGAATGTCATTAAGAGGTTCATACAACTAATCACAAGAGATATTCACGATTGGCTGTTTTAACGCGAAAATAAATATCATGCAAAGTATAAGTAATTTACAGTAACCTCAATCTTGCTGAAATATGATGGTGGCAGAAAAGTCATCAAAACATTGCACATATATTTTCTAACTGATATAAGAAAAATTATTCAAAATCAAAATGGGTCAAAAATTTCATCTGAAAAAGAACCATGTCTAACTACATCTCAGGGATTTGTCACACATCAAATACAGGGTGGTTGGGTGGCGCAGTGGTAACACACCACTTGCCTTTCACCTGGCCATCTGGGGGCGATTCCCAGAATGACTGTGAAAAGATAAAGGGTTACCTTCCAAACCACATGGTTTTTTCCAGGTTACTACGGTTTCCTACCACTAAAACTACTCTAGGCTTAAATCCGGGCCAACAAGAGTGATTAATATGAATTGGAAATACCTGGTTTGCAACAGTTGTAAAATAAATAAAGCTTATTATTATTATCAACATACAGATTCCAAGATGAGGTGAAAGAGGAACATTTCGGACACATATAAAATAACAGTTATTTCTCAAATTTTAGGCCAAACAATGAGATATCGAGGAGTAGCAACATTTGAAATCCTTGAAAACGATTTGGGATATTATCAATATGATTTATTTTTCCTTGTACAAAGACATACTCATATCATCAAAGACATCACTTACAAGTTGAGCTTTAAATCATCAAAGATATGTTTATCTTATTGTAACAAATGATTAATTAATATTTTCTAAGGCATAAATAACGGTTTTTGAGACATGCTATACTGTTTTTCTCTAATTTATAGCTTTAGCTAATTGATGTGATCTCACTTAAACGGTCCGTGATTTTATCTCTTATTCCATAAATAAGTACTTTATCAAATGTTTCCGTGTTAACCAGCTCGGTAGAAACCAAGATTTATTTTGAGTTTGGTGTTCTTGAAGAAGTTAGTGACTTATAACCTTGCTGAACAATATGCTGGAGGCCTGTTGCTTATCACAAATATCAAAAGGAATGAAGTATTGTTGCCAAAGAACTCAACCATGACAACACAGTTCACCCCTGAACAGTTTGATGCTCTATAGAGAGTGGTCCCTGGTATACTGGAGAATCCTTCAATAGAATGGTCTGAACAAAGCAAATTCATTAATTAGATTCATTGACTTCAAACTGTACCACTTGCTCCTTACTGTTTAGGACTCGAGCAAACAAGCTTGTAAAGAAATTTACAGATTTAGGAATTGATACACACAGAACAAAAATGTTAAGTCTGGATAACATTTAATTTACAAGAATTGTTCCATATCATCACAACAATAACTTCAAAAGTAAAGTAGTTCCTGTAGAGATCATATATCAGCTTCTGTTAATATCACATTAGAGTTCCTGTAGAGATGATATTAGAGTTGCTGTAGAGATCATACATTAGTTTCTTTAATATCACATAAGAGTTCCTGTAGAGATCATACATTAGTTTCTTTAATATCACATAAGAGTTCCTGTAGAGATCATACATTAGTTTCTGTTCATATCACATAAGAGTTCCTGTAGAGATCATACATTAGTTTCTGTTAATATCACATAAGAGTTACTGTAGAGATCATATATTAGTTTCTGTTAATATCACATTAGGGTTCCTGTAGAGATCATACATTAGTTTCTGTTAATATCACATAAGAGTTCCTGTAGAGATCATATATTAGTTTCTGTTAATATCACATTAGGGTTCCTGTTGAGATAATTTGTATGTCAACATGATAATCTGAATCAAGAGACACAGGGTATGTCCTGTTTGTTGTATAAATTACATAAGTGCCTTTTACTGTAGCTATTTCAAAAACATATCTGAATCATTTTTGAGTACGACTGCTGCAGTTGTTTTAGTATTCTTTAGACTAATCATTAGTACAAAGAGACACCTGTCAAACATCATTCAGTGTTCAAAGAAAATTTGCAAAACCTCAAGATGAATGCATGCATCTATATTTCTGGCAATGGTTCCATGTCTATAAGGGCATCTGTATACATTGTCCATATACATCTGAAGCCCATCACCCCTCCCTCCATGAAATTATTGCAGGAGAGTTCATTCACAGCTTCCATAGCAATAAGACTAATGTGTCTTAATTGCCAGAGGATACTACCACATCAGTAAAGACCAGGCAGTTTCTCAGTTTCCTTAGAAATAAAATACGCAATAGATTCAAAGGGAACAATGTACCACACAACTAAAATTAGGCCAACATCGACTGAGCTGTCACAACAGGACAAATACGGTAATAGGATTTCAGTTTTAAACAAAATCCAAAGCTGAAAGCACTTTTACTGTAATCTCTTCATAGATTGTTTCATTGTTAAATTTCTACGAATTTAATCTCAAGTCACATGCGAACGAGAAATCATTCTTATAAGAAAAGAGAAATAAAATTTGAAACAATAGAGCTTTGCATCTTTGAAGTTGAGTTTGATACTTTTCAAGAAATAAAAAGAAACAAACCCATGAACAACAATGATAGGCGTAAGTACTTGTACATTTAGCTGAACTTCTTAATCATGAATTTAGTCGTTATCTATCGTTTCAAATATACTCTTGCTTGAAATTTCTTTCATGACCTGTACATCAAAAAAATTCAATATTTAAATTCAATCACAGCCGTGTTCCCTGAAGGAAACAGATGTATATCAACGCTTTAAAACAATATTGTTATAAATTTGAAATGACACAAACATGAAACAAATATATAACTTATGTTCTTTGATTTATAAAGATTAAAACATTGATCAGCATAGAATTGTCAAAATAATCTTAATCCAGAATTTAAAACCAGACTCCCATCAAAATGGAAAGAGTGATTGGAAATCTTATAAAACATTTAAGTTAAATTAGCAAATTCAGAGAATCCAACACATGTAGAAACCTAACAATACTAACAGGACGAGTTCTGTTTCATTAACTGGTGAAATGTTTCCATTGCCCACTAATTTGATTCTCAAAAAGCCGTATAATATGTACCTAGTAATAAAAACAGCTAATACCATTTGTGTTTTCCCTTTTCAGTGTTTAAAGTCACGAAGCATTGTACACAACACTTCATCTTTTCTATATCAACCATGGTCTCACAGGAATTTTGTCGTTATAAAGTAACTTGGCTTCAAAAACAAAAAAAAAAACTTAAATACCATAAAATTGCTTTCAGTTAAAAGTTCTAATGTTTTGTTACCTGTATCAGTTATTTCAGGAGAATGGTGCGATTTATGAATTTTTTTGAATTTTAGTAGATTTCTTCAACAGTATGACAACCCTATTGATCAACATTAAGAGTCAGATATCCAGACACAACTTATAATGCTTCTTCAACTCAAGTAGGATATCTGATAGAGACTGATGAAAAAATAGAGAAATTTCAGCTTAAAACATAATACTTCTTTTACAATTTAATGACAAATCTGAGAGCTTACACTTAAATAATAAAACCTCTTCTAATAAAAGGCAAAACAGGGGACCTTACGCTTAAAAGAAACTCAGGAACACTCAGGTATAAAATTACTCACTCAGTATATATATATGATTACAAGATCAACAGGTCAGTCTGTAGTCTCAGCATTATAATCTAGATACTGTGTGGGATCTGTAGTCAACATTATAATCTAGACACTGTGTGGGATCTGTAGTCTCAGCATTATAATCTAGATACTATGTGGGATCTGTAGTCTCAGCATTATAATCTAGATACTGTGTGGGATCTGTAGTCTCAGCATTATAATCTAGATACTGTGTGGGATCTGTAGTCTCAGCATTATAATCTAGATACAGTGTGGGATCTGTAGTCAACATTATAATCTAGACACTGTGTGGGATCTGTAGTCTCAGCATTATAATCTAGATACAGTGTGGGATCTGTAGTCAACATTATAATCTAGATACTGTGTGGGATCTGTAGTCTCAGCATTATAATCTAGATACTGTGTGGGATCTGTAGTCTCAGCATTATAATCTAGATACTGTGTGGGATATGTAGTCTCAGCATTAAAATCTAGATACTGTGTGGGATCTGTAGTTAACATTATAATCTAGATACTGTGTGGGATCTGTAGTTAACATTATAATCTAGATACTGTGTGGGATCTGTAGTTAACATTATAATCTAGACACTGTGTGGGATCTGTAGTCTCAGCATTATAATCTAGATACTGTGTGGGATATGTAGTCTCAGCATTAAAATCTAGATACTGTGTGGGATCTGTAGTTAACATTATAATCTAGACACTGTGTGGGATCTGTAGTCTCAGCATTATAATCTAGATACTGTGTGGGATCTGTAGTCAACATTATAATCTAGATACTGTGTGGGATCTGTAGTCTCAGCATTATAATCTAGATACTGTGTGGGATCTGTAGTCTCAGCATTATAATCTAGATACTGTGTGGGATCTGTAGTCAACATTATAATCTAGATACTGTGTGTAACATTATAATCTAGTACTGTGTGGGATTATAATCTAGATACTGTATGGGATCTGTAGTCTCAGCATTATAATCTAGATACTGTGTGGGATCTGAAGTCAACATTATAATCTAGATACTGTATGGGATCTGTAGTCCCAGCATTATAATCTAGACACTGTGTGGGATCTGTAGTCCCAGCATTATAATCTAGATACTGTGTGGGATCTGAAGTCAACATTATAATCTAGATACTGTGTGGGATCTGAAGTCAACATTATAATCTAGATACTGTGTGGGATCTGTAGTCAACATTATAATCTAGATACTGTGTGGGATCTGTAGTCTCAGCATTATAATCTAGATACTGTGTGGGATCTGTAGTTAACATTATAATCTAGATACTGTGTGGGATCTGTAGTCTCAGCATTATAATCTAGATACTGTGTGGGATCTGTAGTCTCAGCATTATAATCTAGATACTGTGTGGGATCTGTAGTCTCAGCATTATAATCTAGATACTGTGTGGGATCTGTAGTCTCAGCATTATAATCTAGATACTGTGTGGGATCTGTAGTCTCAACATTATAATCTAGATACTGTGTGGGAACTGAAGTCAACATTATAATCAAGACACTGTGTGGGATCTGAAGTCAACATTATAATCTAGATACTGTGTGGGATCTGTAGTCTCAGCATTATAATCTAGATACTGTGTGGGATCTGTAGTCAACATTATAATCTAGATACTGTGTGGGATCTGTAGTCCCAGCATTATAATCTAGATACTATGTGGGAACTGTAGTCAACATTATAATCTAGATACTGTGTGGGATCTGTAGTTAACATTATAATCTAGACACTGTGTGGGATCTGTAGTCTCAGCATTATAATCTAGATACTGTGTGGGATCTGTAGTCCCAGCATTATAATCTAGACACTGTGTGGGATCTGTAGTCAACATTATAATAGAGACACTGTGTGTAGTCTCAGCATACTATCTGTATATAATATAATCTAGATACTGTCTGTAAGACAGGAATGCCTGTACACCTATTTGTATGAGATTCATTTTTCTATTATAATCTATCTTCACATTGAGCTTTGAACCACGAATACAAACTCACCCAAGATGTTCTCAATGATGGCCTTTAGCATACAGTTTGCTCGTATAAAATAAAGTTATGAATACATGAAAGTGGGTAATCATTTTCCATAAACAACGATGTTGCTTTTGACCTTTGATCTTGAAACTATGAAACACAAGCTCAGCTGGGGCGTTGCTGTAGATAGAACTTTAAGAACTGAACTTGCTGGAGTGATTTTGGACATGATGGTACCATGATGGGGCAGCAATGGACATATGTAACACTATATCCCAGAGTTAAATTTCACTCAGAGACCCTTGACTATAAAAACTTGTATATAGCAGTAGAAGTAGTATAGTAGGACAGTTATAAAACAATTCACAATATTTTTGTAGTAAAAGCAAAACCACTCATTTGAGAATGATGATGACGAAACATGGTGACTAAACATTTTTACCTACCAGACATGAGGAGATCCTGATGTACACTAAACGGGTGAAGGATTTCTACATCAAAGTTAGTCATTTATACCTACCAGACTTGAGGAGATCCTGATGTACACTAAACGGGTGAAGGATTTCTACATCAAAGTTAGTCATTTATACCTACCTGACTTGAGGAGATCCTGATGTACACTAAACGGGTGAAGGATTTCTACATCAAAGTTAGTCATTTATACCTACCTGACTTGAGGAGATCCTGATGTACACTAAACGGGTGAAGGATTCTACATCATAGTTAGTCATTTATACTTACCAGACTTGAGGAGATCCTGATGTACACTAAATGGGTGAAGGATTTCTACATCAAAGTTAGTCATTTATACCTACCAGACTTGAGGAGATCCTGATGTACACTAAACGGGTGAAGGATTTCTACATCAAAGTTAGTCATTTATACCTACCTGACTTGAGGAGATCCTGATGTACACTAAACGGGTAAAGGATTTCTACATCAAAGTTAGTCATTTATACCTACCTGACTTGAGGAGATCCTGATGTACACTAAACGGGTGAAGGATTCTACATCATAGTTAGTCATTTATACTTACCAGACTTGAGGAGATCCTGATGTACACTAAACGGGTGAAGGATTTCTACATCATAGTTAGTCATTTATACCTACCAGACTTGAGGAGATCCTGATGTACACTAAACGGGTGAAAGATTTCTACATCAAAGTTAGTCATTTATACCTACCTGACTTGAGGAGATCCTGATGTACACTAAACGGGTGAAGGATTTCTACATCATAGTTGGCTGATGAACTTGCATTCTGTTCCTCCTACAAGTACAGCAAATTAAAGAGAATGAAACAAGAAAAAATCTGTCCATCTGTATAATGATATTATCTAACTCTAAGGTTACAAATTATAAAGTAGACAAGAATTTATCAACCATGTGATCCTTAACCTTTCTTCATTAGTACAGGAGGTCAAAACCAGATGAATAACCTTTGACCTTGTGGAGTCATGGTCAATATTAGTAAAATGACCTTTGACATTACTTTTACACTATTCCTGGAAACTGTTGTGGAGGTGTGGCCATACCAGCTAGATGACCTTGGCCTACATAGTCTGTATAGGTATTCCTGTTGTTGAAGGGGGTTTATATCAGCTGTGTGACCTTTGCCCTTACAACTATAACTATAAATACTAGTTGTGTGACCTTTGCCCTTTACAACTATAACTATAAATACTAGTTGTGTGACCATTGCCCTTACAACTATAACTATAAATACTAGTTGTGTGACCTTTGCCCTTTACAACTATAACTATAAATACTAGTTGTGTGACCTTTGCCCTTACGACTATAACTATAAATACTAGTTGTGTGACCTTAATTCACTTACTTTCACAGGTATCAGTGTGACTGTTGTGGAGGCATGGTCAATACCAAATGTAGGACCTTTGACTTACCTATTAGGCATTGTGTAATATTATCTGTTGTGTGATGAGAGGTCAATACATACTGATGACCTTTGACCTTACCATAATAAGTACTGTGTAACATTATCTGTTTTGTGATGAGAGGTCAATACATGCTGATGACCTTTGACCTTACCATAATAAGTACTGTGTAACTTTATCTGTTGTGTGATGAGAGGTCAATACATGCTGATGACCTTTGACCTTACCATAATAAGTACTGTGTAACATTATCTGTTGTGTGATGAGAGGTCAATACATGCTGATGACCTTTGACCTGACCATAATAAGTACTGTGTAACATCTGTTTTCTGATGAGAGGTCAATACATGCTGATGACCTTTGACCTTACCATTATAAGTACTGTGTAACATTATCTGTTGTGTGATGAGAGGTCAATACATGCTGATGACCTTTGAACTTACCTTCATAGGTATGCCAGTAACTGTTGTGGAGGCTAGATTGTAATGCTGTTGTACAAGCTGTATGAGTTTATTGTATAGATGCCGACCTGACTGTGTAGCATGTACCTCACTATTCAACTGGGGGGACACCTGCAATATAAAGATCATGTATATGATAATGCTTTCATCAACATCACTGGTGACATGTTGGATATATAGAAATCAACTGCAGTGGTGTCTACCATATGGAATATCTTAATGCATTGTACACTATAGTGACACTAATATATTCATAAAAGACTTTTATATCTAATGCACTGAAATAACTTTCTCAACGTTTCAATAACGTGCTTAACAGATTTAGGAACTGGGTTTTTTTTCATAAACCTCGTGTTTACAGATTTATTTTAGTATTTTTTAGAAAATTTTCTAAAGTTTTCCTATTTCAATTTTATTTCAGTAGAAGAATCAAACTTGAAATCAAAAGATGAGAGGCAAAATGGTTGAAAAGTTTATTATCTTTCATTTCATAATGGTTTTATGAAACAATATTGAAAGATTCAGTATATATCAATGATAACTAGAAAATCTTGGCCAACAACTTTTCAGCTAATGCCATTTTCCAGACCCCACATTTCATATAGAACACAATATGGTGTATTGAGGTTTTTTCTAGTAAATCAAATTTTCATGATGTCCATGGAATACTTACCATAAATAACCATACCAAGACATTGTTGGCCACAATTTGATGGACTTTCCACATATATTCAACCACTTACCCAAAGATCGATCATTTCCACAAACATGAAAGCCAACCTTTCAAGCAATTCATATATCACACATTTAGACCCCAGAATGTACAAATTCAAATTATTTTCCAGTGTTACCCAAAAATGAACTTTGTAAACGTAGCTCATTCCAAAAACCAAAAGCTGACCTTTGATTTTTGACCTAATTGTAAAAAGTGGCACTGACATCTTCAGACACATTCTTACAACATACTGAATAATCTATAATGGTATCTCTTACCAATCAGAGAGAAAGAAGAGAAGAAAGAAGAAGAAGAGAAAGAAAGAAGAAGGGAAAGGAAGAAGAAGAAGAAGAAGAAGAAGAAGAAGAAGAAGAAGAAGAAGAAGAAGAAGAAGAAGAAGAAGAAGAAGAAGGAGAAGAAGAAGAAGAGAAGAACAAGAAGAAGATGAAGAAGAAGAAGAAGAAGAAGAAGAAGAAGAAGAAGAAGAAGAAGAAGAAGAAGAAGAAGAAGAAGAAGAAGAAGAAGAAGAAGAAGAAGAAGAAGAAGAAGAAGAAGAAGAAGAAGAAGAAGAAGATGAGAAGAAGAAGAAGAAGATGAAAAAGAAGAAGAAGAAGAAGAAGAAAAAAGAAGAAGAAGAAGAAGAAGAAGAAGAAGAAGAAGAAGAAGAAGAAAAGAAGAAGAAGAAGAAGAAGAAAAGAAGAAGAAGAAGAAGAAGAAGAAGAAGAAGAAGAAGAAGAAGAAGAAGAAGAAGAAGAAGAAGAAGAAGAAGAAAAAGAAGAAAAAGAAGAAGAAGAAGAAGAAGAAGAAGAAGAAGAAGAAGAAGAAGAAGAAGAAGAAGAAGAAGAAGAAGAAGAAGAAGAAGAAGAAGAAAAAGAAGAAGAAGAAGAAGAAGAAGAAGAAGAAGAAGAAGAAGAAGAAGAAGAAGAAGAAGAAGAAGAAGAAGAAGAAGAAGAAGAAGAAGAAGAAGAAGAAGAAGAAGAAGAAGAAGAAGAAGAAGAAAAAGAAGAAGAAGAAGAAGAAGAAGAAGAAGAAGAAGAAGAAGAAGAAGAAGAAGAAGAAGAAGAAGAAGAAGAAGAATAGATGTTTCCAACAGATGTTGAAAAACCCTAATAGCCTATTGTCCAAGCTCAAAACTGATCATCAACTGATCTATCATTTAAGCAACATATGAAATTTCCTCACAAGTAATTGAAACTTCCCAGTTATCCCATTAAAAGGCTTGTTTTTCCTCATAAACTCTAACAAAGGGATGAAATCAATATGGCGTGAACTTTTGTAAATCTGATCCACACTTGAGACCAATGTAACAATATTGAATACTCTATCAAATTCATCACATCAGTTTAAAAGTATTTTTTAAGGCACAAATGAAGAGTTGATTTCCTCATTTTTTGTCATTCCTTGTTGTTCTACATATATATACATCTGCCTCACTTCCCTTGTGATTTGCCTCAGGCAACAGCAACAATACAACCTTGGCCTTTGTTTTTTTAAATACAAGCACATATGAAGTATTTTATATTTAAATCTGTAAAGGATTGTCAGCAGAGAAATAATAAAACATTTGTGCCAATTTTTAGTGAGATAGACATGGGGAGGCCCATTGGTATTGTGAGATAGACTAGAATTCTGAAAATTGATACAGCACAAAGAAAATAATCATTTGATATAAATTGTGACAACAGTTAAAATGTTATGTTTCTTTATGGCTAGATATAATACTGAACTTCGCAAAAGAATGAAATAAATTTTCCTTTGACTGAGGCTGCAAAAAATTCAAAAAAATATTGAAAATATGATATCAACCAACTGGAATAAGTAGAAATGAATAAAAAAATTACCTGACGATTTGTTCTGTCTGCTATCTTGGTATCATCCCCAACGGGTACAATATGAATCAATAATAACTCACAGTGTTCAATGACCATCAGGCTGAAAAAAATGAAAAATACACGATTGGTAACAATTTTATCAAGAAACATTGGGAGACAATAACTTCCTTCAAATGTAGAATTAACAAAGGGAGACAACCATTAACTGTATAATGGTCAATAAACAAAGGGAGACCACCATTAATTGTATAATGGTCAATAAACAAAGGGAGACAACCATGATCTTTTAATGTATAATCAATGAAGCGAAAAAAAAAAACATAAAATCTTTAATGGATGATTAACAAAGGGAGACAACCATAACCTTCTAATGTACAATCAATAAAAAGAGACAACCATTAATTTTTTAATGGACAATTAACAAAGGGAGACAATCATAACTTTCAAATGTACAATCAATGAAGCGATAAAAAATTCATTAACTGCTTAAAGGACGATTAACAAAGGGAGACAACCATAACCTTCTAATGTACAATCAATAAAAAGAGACAACCATTAATTTTTTAATGGACAATTAACAAAGGGAGACAATCATGACTTTCAAATGTACAATCAATGAAGCGATAAAAAAATTCATAAACTGCTTAAAGGACGATTAACAAAGGGAGACAACCATAACCTTCTAATGTACAATCAACGAAAAGAGACAACTATTAACTGTTTAATGGACAATTGACAAATGGAGACTATCATGACCGTTTAATGTACAATCAATGAAAAGAGACAACTATTAATTATTTAATGGGCAATTTACAAAGGGAGACAATCATGAACTTCTAATGTACAATCAATATAATGGCCTTGGTTATATTAAACTAGTAACTTCTGAAATAAACAATTCACAAAGGAATTAAGACAATTATTCAACAGATTTAGAACTAAAACAGACAAGTTCTCCCAACAAGGTACTCAATGATACTCCATCATTAATATGGGGAGACAACCATATACTTTCATTTTGTTGGGTGTGGAATTTGTTGACAGAAACCTTTGGCAAGATTCCAATGGATTTTTCATCATAAAAATGATGTTATGTAAAACATATCAAAGGTAATGTTTTTATGTCGAATAAATCTTGATAATCTATTTTAAATAATGCAAAATTTAGGCAGTTCTATTATTTTCAATAGAAATTCAACAAATGCTTAAAGAAAAGGACCAAAAAAAAAAAAAAAAAAGGAAATTAATAAAAAATTGACCAAGGTATCTTTAATGGGGTTGGGATTCATAGCAACCCCACCAATTCCATATCAGTTGTATGAGATCCCATCAAAGAGATCAATAAAAACACATGCCTGGAGTGACAGACCCTGGTATCTCCATTTATCACTCAACTAATGGGTAGTTGGGATAAGACAGGACTAGACAAAATAAAACCCCTTGTCAATGGACTCCTCAAATAAACATTGACTTTCATACATGTTACATACAGTTACATTTGCTTTATAGGGATGGACCTCTGACCAGTATGTGGCTTGCCAGGTCCCAGTAACACATTCAACCAAAATCTGTTGGCTTTCAACAATACACTGCAGTACAAGAGGCCCACAGGAGCTGTATCACTCACTTGGAAGAATTGATTTCTCTACACCCAAGAATATTTCAGACCAAATGTGGTCGTAATCCGATAATTTCCCACAGGGGATAAAGGATTGAACAGAATTTGTTCAGTTTCCCTTTTTGGGCCCCAGCCTTCCCCTGCCACAGGGGGCTGAGATTAATGCAAAATTTATACAAAATTTGGGACAGGTGAGCTAAAAATCATAATCATTCATTTTCAAAATTATTGAAAAAAAGTTCTAGTTTATGTACATTTGATTTCATGAATAAATATTCCTCAAACAATCTAGTTATATTTATTACTTAAACAGTTTATGGACATATGAATTTGTTGACTAAGAATACCAATAAAAACAATGAAAATTAGTGTGATGATTTTATAGTATTTTGAAAGAAACATAAAATTTTCTCACAGCTTAAATTATTCTAAACCATTTTAGCTCTATATTCTCCATTAAATGCACAAGTATTTCTTGAAATTATAACAGAAATAATGAATATTTTCAGATTTGAAAAATTCTAGAAATTTTACACAATAACAGATAAATTTACAATAATTCCTAAAACAGTAGACATCCTAGACTTCTACTGATATGCACATAACCTGAAAATTACAGTGTTTTTATCATCACATGATGGAACTTCAGTTAACTAAGTTCCAGACCTGATATACCACAAGCTCAACTTCGACCCGTATCCCAGACAGGCTTAGATGCAGATGGTGACTTTCGTAATATAGTTACACAAAGGAAACCTAAAGTAAGAACATGGAGGAAAGTTCCAACTGAAGTTCCAGACACTTTCTTCAAGGGAAAAGAAAAATGAACCTCCAGCTGACGGACAGGTTGAATTCCATATACATTCTTCTGACGGCTGATAATGGAAGAAATGTTGGATAACATAAAACAGCAAACAAACATGTACAAAAAGGATAGAAATCAACACAACAAAGAAGGAAATAGAGATAATGATCGGTATTTATTTGTACATGGGTCAAGTTCATATGCCACGTGTACGTGCTTATTGGGATTCCTTAATGAGATATGACCCAATTACAGAGCAAAATGCCAAGAAACAAATTTGAGAAGTTAGTCACAACAATTCATTTCACAGTGTTGTTACTGATGAAGAAGAAGAGGATCATCTATCGAAAATTTGTATTAAAAACTTTCTTGGGATCCCTGCTGAGCAAAACAACGCAGTGATCGAGATTATGGTGTCATTTAAAGGCAAGTCAGGAGTCAGACAATATTCTGAGGCAAGTCAAACCGATTGGCTTTCAAAACGTGGGGGTGTGCTGGTGTGTTCGATATTCTCTATAATTTTGATATCCATCAGGGGGAACAGGGAAGAAAACTGAACATTCTATAGGAGCAGATGGAGAGATGTTGTACTGAATCACTTCCCAGTGGCCAAAATCATAAAATCTTCGTTTACTCTAGCATAGGAACTTCTGAAAAGGTCCCTTTATTTTGTTGGTACAATCAGATCAAACAGGTTACATGACTGTGAGTTTAATACTGAGAAAGACCTAAAGAAGGAAGGAAGAAGACCAACCAATATAAGTCATCGATGAAATAATAATGTTGTAAGTCGTTCATGATAAAACAATGTTGTGCTATTGAGATGGTATGACAACAAGGCAGCTAATTATATTTCAATTTAGGCACTGAGCCTGCAGGGCATGCAAAAAGATGGGACAGAGGGACGTAATCTTATGTACAAATTTTACAGCCTGCAATCATTGAGTGCTACAACGCCTTTACGAGAGGAATAGACCTTCTAGACAGATTGACATCACTCTACAAGCAGAAGATTAAATCAAGACAAAGGTATATGTATATATTCTGGCATACTATTATGGTCGTTGTTGTCAATGGGTGACTTTGATGCAAAAGACACTGTCAGCTGGCGAAGCAGAAGTATATGAAATTATCGGTTTTCTGTTGTGAGGTAGCTCTGGTCAGGACGAAAGTGGGAAGGCCATTCCTTTCACCTGAGCTAGTGAGTGTATCAGCTAATTACATCCAACGCAAAAGAAAGGATTCTAGACGATGTCTGATGTGAACGTGTCAGCCATTTTCCTGTCTGGCAGACAAAGAGAAATGGATGTAAATTGAATGGCTGTGATGGCTTTGTTTTAATAAAGACAGAAACTGTGTCTTCCAACCCCATATCTAGAAACTCTTTCCTGAAATCCCATGTCAAACAGGGTGAAACTCACATAACTGCCCAAACCGTTTCATATAGGCAACATTCATAAAAATCAAAGACAATCTTTTTTCTGAAAAAAACTCACAGCAAGCGTCTAATTTTGCTCTTATTTGGGATTTGATTTTGATGATATAATTTTTTCAACAAAGTTCAAGTATTTGGCACTAGAGGATTAATGAAAAATACTGACATGTCAACATAATCATAATCCAAACTCAAATTCCTTAAAACTAGGGCAAAATAAGAACAAAAGAAAGATTTACACAAAAACTCCTGAAAAAGTGCAAGGAGAATAAGACCACATGTTCCGGAAGAGTAAGCCTTTTCTGCTTCAACAATGACACTTGCCATGTAAACCTTGGTCAATCCAAGTAAGTAATGTCACGCTCTCAAATAAGAACAAGGTATACAACAACGAGGTCAACAGGCAAACTAACGAGCATCAAACACGCCCAGCTTCATATCGCACAAAGAAATAGAATATTTCTCAAGGAGATCACTATGGTGACTGGTTAAATTCCTCATAATTTTCATCTACCTGCATCTTTGGAAACTCTGTGTTACGAGTTTATGCGTCAGTTGACAGCTTCTCGCACAAAAATTTTGATAACGGGAATAGGCTTTAGAATATTGAATCAGCTGCGACAGGAAACACTGCAGAATGGTAAGCTTTTGACATAAGTACAAGAAAAAATTAAATGAATGAGTGGAAGAATCCATTTACATTATAATGGATGTAACCTTTAATGCTGAGGGTGCTGGAGACTGAGACTTAGTAAACAACATGGATGTATTCTGGGTCAGCATCAATCTCTAGGACTACAGTTTCATCATACCCTATATTTTACCCTGCAACTGACACTGCCATCGTCAGAATACACGTGCCACATATATCTTTGCTGTATTTGACAGAGTTAATTTCTAGATTTACTTAAAAATTCATTTAACAATAAAAATAACAGTTGAAATAAGCAATTTTAGATGTATGAAAAAGTTGAAGGTATTATATTCATGGCAAAGCATTTATTTTGTCATACATCTTCAGGCAAAATTCAGAGTAATGTCAACACAGAGCAACAAAAATGCTGAATTTTATTGTCTGATTTTCAATCTATGTTGCAGGATAAATAGAATACATGGTCAATGTCATAAAATATAAGCTGTATTTTGTCGAAGGTGAAAAAAGAGAAAAGAGGTAAAATACAGTTTATAGTTTAAGACAGTGGCTGTGCATTCACTTTATATACTTCGTCTAGAAAACCACAG